AAAAACAGATGTACGACCACGTTTAAATTCGTTGAACCAATATCTCACGGTTGTCATAGATGGTGAAGGGTCCCCATAGACGGCATCCAACTTCGCTTTTATTTCTTCGCATGTTTTTCCATCCAAAAATAAAAAGCGAATTACGGATCGATATTGCACTTTCTCCATTGTATCAAGAAAGACAAAACACGTCTGATGCAACTGGCTGCCAAATAAAAACTAACCTATGAATCAGTCTGAAATTTAGTATGGGGTCGTTTGACAGATGGCAGTACACGACGGTAAAGCCAACTTCCCTCAGCAACGCCACCTGTCTTCAAACACGGGTACTTATTGATCGACCCTCGTAATATTCTTACATCTTCCATGCTACCACCCTCGTCTGTAACTGTGCTATCAAGATAAAGGAAATATATCAACATTTCCTATTTCTTTTCCGCCTAGAGTAAAAGTTTTTGTATTATTTATCCGCATTGCTTTCATTCTTGCTGGGTTAATCTTCATTCTAACTTTCCTGGCTTCCCTATTCAACTCAGCCTACTTTTCTGTCATTTTTTAAATTTTGTGCTAAAAGACATATCTGCAAAATCCAAGTTCTGCAGTTTCCATGTGAGATCTCATTGTATTCTTCTTTGTGTTCTGAAAGTTCTCCACATTACTGAATCCATCATAATAAGGAAAATTACTGGTGAGAGGATATGCCCTTGTTTGACACCTCTACCTGTCTCCATAGGTGAATTGAGTTTCCCATTGTGTATAGCTTGGCAAATATAATCTTTGTATGAGTTATGATTTTTGGTGGAATCCAATAGCTCTTCAGTTCCCTCCATATTTGGTCCTATCCGTGGAATCAGAAGCCTGAACACTCCCATACACCAATAGAAGGCGGTTTGATGTTTCCACATTCAGGATCCTTATTAAATTCCTCCTGCAGGAGTTTGATTATCATTTGAGCTGAATGGAGCTCCATTAGAACTTCCTTGAATTGCTCTTTCACCACAATACCATTTTGACATAACTGATTTATGAGAAATAACTGCATGTGGAGGTATTAGCACTCTCAACCTCCCGAAACTGTACCACCTAATTTCACTCTGCCTTAGATGTCTAATTTATATTTTTCCATTTCTCAGCAAAATTTTTTTAATTTCCACTCTGGGCTAATGTTCTAACATTCCACAAACTAATTCACATTTTATATTTCATGCCAAATGTCATTTTTCCTCATTCAGCCTGGCTGTTCCTTGTTAATATTTCTGTAATACAATCCATTTAAGAATAACGGGTTATTAGCACACTGGCCTCGAGTGTACTGGTGGGGCTGCCACCTAAGTACCTGACACCTGCTCCGACAATGTGGTCAGCCATGTAGTTTTTATGTGGCCTAACCAAGAACTTTTCCTTCCTTGCTTGATTTGGTTAGTCTGCCAATACTCTGTGGCTAATCACACTATTTTGATTTTTAAGTTTATTCATATTTTTTTCAAAACATCCTTATTCAGACCTCAATGAAGTCAGATGCAGTAGAAAGTATTTCTTAATTAAAATTTGTATGTTCCATGTCCTAGTCAAACTCATCATCTCTCATCAAATGGTTTTATTTTTCTCTCAGCATTTTTGCCTTTATGTGGGTCAGCTAATGACCAAGCTCTTGACCTGAGTCATCTTCCGAAAGTTCTTCCTTTGCAGTTTCTTCCCATGTTGCTGCTTCTGCAGACATTTTTCTTAGTGTCATATTCAAAAACTCTTATGACATTCTCTGTTCATTCTTACAGTGTGCCCATGTCATCTTATTCTTGCTTTATCAATTTATCTTTATAGTGTCTCCATTCCTTATTCTCTCCTGGTTTTGCCTTCTGTACTTAAAAATCTGCTGTTAGTGTACGAGTATTTATGTCTGCTGTTATCCATTATCCTGTTTTTGGCCTATATCACTATTTAATGGACACGTGTTTCCTATTTCACTTGGTCGGGTTTGGAGTCCAGCTGGGTCCACTGGGCACGGCGGCCACTGATTGGCCTATTGTACCTACCCTGGGTGATTATGATGACAGAGAATTTGGTGGAATGAAGTTTGGCAGGGGAAACCAAAGTACTCAGAGAAAGCCTGCCCTAGCGCCACTTTGTCCACCACAGATCCCACTTGACCAAACCCGGGCTGCCACAGTGGGAAGCCAGCGATTAACCGCTTGAGCTATGGCGCAGCCTTACACATGTTTCCTAACTTCAACATTTCCCATTTACAAAGTACATCCCTAATTGATAGAATTTTCAAGCACTTTTTATTCTTTCTGTAATTTCTTATATTACTTTTGCTTGTCACTCCATTTCCATTATTTCCTAATTGTTACCTTTCATCTTTTCCAGTTTATGTAATGCTTTCACCAGAATATGTTGGACAGTTTGATTTTCAGCCATTTTTATTCATAATAAAGCATAGTTTGCATGTGATCATAAACTGACTTTTGTGAGTATCCTATAAATCATATCACAGGTATTGTTAAAATTCAGCAGTTCAGATATACACATCACCAATCAAAGCAACAGTATTTGAAGCTGATACTGTTACTGTATTTGAGCATCCTGGTGCATTGGTGTATCAATTGATACATAATACAGCCTTCAGTACAAAATATATTCACCTGAGAGCCATTCTTTGCCCCTGAAGATGGAAGCAGTAGTTTCTTTCAGTCATCAGTACCAGACTACATGTCAGATCCTGGAAGACAGTAATCTCAGTACTGTCTACTGTTTGCTAGCAAGGTCTTGTACAATTTAATTGACTGGTTTTGGAAAATGTTGGAAGTGTGACAGTTTGAGTTCATGTCTGATGCTTGTAATGGTAGAAAAGTTTATTAAGTGTGGTTGGAAAAAGTCCCTAAGTACTGTATTTCCCAGCCTAAAAAATATATAATGGCTTAAGGTGGAGAAATTAAATATATTTTTACTATTTATTTATTGTGATGAAGTTACTTATTTGCTTATAAAAGTAATCAGTTCTTCCAGGCATAATGAATACAGTATTTATGTATCTCGTTTTTATTGTTAGTTCCTGACATATAAGATGTACTGCAATTTTTGTGAACATTTTTTTCAGAAGAAAGTAATGTCATACGCCAGCAAATACAGTAATTAGACTTGAAGGTGAAAACAGGGAGGGGTGTGCTAGCCAAACTAGTACCTAAAAATTCAGAACATGAAGACAGTGCCCTGGAAGCAAGCCTGGCCCAATCAGACGCTACAACATAAGCATACAGCAATGCAGAGAAATTATAAGCCCCCTTTTCCAATTTGGAAAGTAGGGCAGTAGCTAAACTCTGGCAGCTCATCCCTGTAAATAGGTTGGTGGGTTAGTGTATGATAGGCACAGGCTGCTACTAAGGCATGAGCAGATGTGACTGGAGCTGAGTTTGCTGGAATGTCAGAAGGTAAGAGGAGGAGTTACTGGAGAAGCACCAGTGCACCTGCAGGAAGAAGACTGGATGAAGGTAACATAACATTTTGCTGTGTGGTGCTCTTACGCTTCCTGGCCTCCTTTATGTGCAGCCTCAACACTAGATTGAAAGAAATGCTGTGCCAACTTTGCCACTGGGGAGAAGGGGCCATAAGTCCTCGTGGATAGAAGGGAGGGTGCCCCCAGGTTACGTCTTTCCCCGTCAGCAATTGAACCTTGATTGGGTTTTGAAAGAAATGGGTATATAATGCAAAGCTTTCTTAGGACTTTCACATATTGCTCGTGGAGTTTTAACAGATTTTTTTAAATGTCAGTAGCTTGAATGTGATATGTTTGGTCCATGGAACTGCACCTCACTAGACATTCCCCTCTCTGACCTGCAGAAGGGGTTCATTTTTACCTTAACAGACAGATCATTTAATATTTCTGCAGATGCAGTCTGTGAGTACCAATTAAAAGAGTGCTTGTTCTTGATCAGTCTCCATGGAGGTGGTGTAATATAGAGCTGGTGATTGCTTCACACTGCAGAGTGATTCTTGAATGGTATCAGTTTCATGTATGTCCACTGTTTTAAATTAATACACCCAATGATGTGTTCTGTGTATTCAGCTGCTTGTTTGACACATCAGTGAAGGATGTGTTGATTATCAAATAAGTGTTTTATTCAAGGTGAAGACATTCCATGAGAACTGTAAGCTATGAGGAAACTGAACAAATGAATGGTGGTTACACATAGGTTTTTCTGGTGGCCTGTGATAGAGAAAATGTGTGTAATTTGTGTATGAGTTGCCCTTGATGGTGTTGTGGAATGCAGGGACAAGTAGAATATGGCATGGTAGTTACAGCTGTCCATCCCCAGCTGCAAGGAGTCCATGGCCCATATATTATGGGTGTATGGAATGGCACATGAAATTGAGTAGAACAGTAGCAAGCAGATGTCTGTGTGGCATAGGTGGAGGGCCTGTGCAAGAGGACAGATGGGTGACTGCCAGATTGTTGCAGGGGCAGTGGTCCATTAGCACAGCCATCATCACCCCGATGTGCTGGTATTTCATAAATTGTTAGTGAGATGGATGCCCAAGGAACTTATCACACAACAGAAGGGCCACCTCACACCAAAAGTACCACTTGAAGCAAGGGTCATGGGTTCATCTTCAGTGCATCCTATGGTAATTATTTTCCAAACAATTTAGGAGTGACCCAGAGGACAAACAATTGACCATGGATATGCAGCAGTCAGAACTGACAGGAATCATTGGTTCCTGGCCAGAAGGATTTTTAATTAACAATCAGGTGGCCATTTAATGCTATAAAATCTAAATTAGCAGGGCCAGTTGCATACCTTCTGCTTTACAATATGGAATGGAACAATGAGTTTGTTCCTGTGCTGTATAATTAGTTTGTCTGGCACACAGGTGTGCTTCTATGGTCAGGAGGTTAGTCTACATGACATGCATTAGCAAGGTATGTGAACTGTGTGAAGGTAGAGGCATATAGACCTGTCGCTGAGGCAAATCATCTTGAACTCTTCACAGTGTTGTTAACACTCATTGAGATTGGAGTAGAATGCAAAAAGAGTGTGTTACAATAATTCCCTGGCATTGAGGGAGCATGTGATGCAGTATTTAGTTGCCAGAAGACGAGTTGGAGCTACTGTTTATCGCCCCCCATGCTAGAAAACAGGATTAAGGGAGCCTCACTTGTGGAGGATAACCTAAGGATGTCTTTGGGGGGAAGTTTAGACATTTCTGCTGTGAATCCTTGTAGGGCTCAATGTTGCTGGCTGCTGAGCAGTAGGATGTGCGAATGATACTGTTACCCCAATAAATGGTAAACTGGGGATATCACAGATGCTCCTCAGAGTGGTGCAGGACTGTTATAACATGTGGGCTGTCTCAAGGAAACAGACTGGCAAATACATTCTAAGGCAAGATTGTTTCTTGGAAACCAACTGATTACAGAGCACAGTTTCCAGGGATACAGAAACTGAAAGTTGTAAACACTTAGAATAGCAAACCATTGTTTGGGAATGAATACGTGGTTTCCAAGACAGTACATTCATGAACAGGAATGGAACCCTTTGAGGCCATGATCTCTCTTTGGACTGCGTGGCAATTACAAAAGGCAGTGAATTCGTGAATTTGAGAGAGCAGAGACCAGTCAGATTCGTCAGACATTCAGGAGTTCAATATGTGAGCTGTTATAATTGATTGTAATTGTAAAGAAGTGCCAGTAAACCCAATCATCAAATCCAGAACCCATTATTAATCATCACACTATCCCCTTGTACATGACAATATAATAACCATACTGTTTACCAAAAAAGAACTTGACATGGGTGGCTTTTAGAACAAGCTTTCCTTGGTAATAGATATGCAGCAGTCCACTGAAATCATCTTGTGATAACATTGAAGAGAAGACAGGTGGATATTACAACTGGACATGATAAAGAAGACAGCCTTGCAGGGACTTCTAGACCTGTACAGATGGCAGTAAGATGCTTCATTATTTATGTTGCCTGAATTAGGTGCCGTCACAAGCTAGCACAGCTGAATCCGATAAATTACAAATGACCGGCTGTGCAGGTGTAATTTTACATGTAGCTGTGGATATGACTTCAGCAGTCACAGTTGAAGTTCTCCTGTGAGTTCAGTACATCTGATTGAGGCAGATGCTCTTGCCAGAATGCGTGCATTTATGGCCTGTATAGGAATGCAACATGCATGTGCAGTTCCTTTCATGGACCTAATGGAGGAGTCCCAGAAATATAACAGAATTCACTCTCTACTGTTGTGAAAGTGTGTGGCAACCAGAAAGTTAGAGCGATGTGCAAGTATTGTGGTGTAGTTTCTGAATGAGATTCAAATTCTCTTTTTAAATGAGCAAACTTTCCCCCCCCCCTCCCGAATGTTACTCCAAAGTTTTGCCTGCTACATACTGTGATTTGGGCAATGAAAGCAGCCATGTTGTTGGTGAAGTAATGGTACTACTCCTAGTTTTGAGACATGAATGAAGAAATTGTTTTGGTTATAGGATGTAAAATGATGGCACTCTGTTTATTTCACAAACCTGGAGCATTGCAACCGCAAGAATTGTAACACTGGAATCTTGTCATGCAGTGAAGTTTAACTGAAGCACATGATTCCTCCCAGATTAGCTTGAAATTAGTCTGGGACTGTCTGCTGTTGCCTGCAACACTGGCACAATGTAAACGCTGCAAGTGATATGGTGTGTTGACAAACTGGGGCTCTGCGTGGTTATTCATAGGGCCAGACACTGCCTGTGGCATGCCTGGTGGACCTCTCTGGGAGGGGGAGTATAGCCACCTGGAGTATTGGCAGTCTATATATAACTGGACACAGCCACATGAACAGTCTCTTTAAGTTCATCAGTTTAAGATGATCTCTGTTTCAGTGTTCAAATCCACTGTTCCACAAAGAAACCTTAATGGTGGTTTTGCTGCATAATGCTTTTGGGAGCCCTTAGTAAATAAGTACTGCCACTTTGGAGCATGTCTTTCTACTCCAGGGAGTGTCATGGGGTCCCAGTCAGGAAATGGTTTTTGTTTGTTGAAGGCACAAGGTCACTGATGGGAATGGTTATAGTGCTGAAGCAGTTTGTTATCAACCCCTGTGCTAACTAATGAGATTAATGGTTTTATGTGTAAAGAACCTCAGAATTTTGTTGCTAGTTGTGCATGGATATGCAAACATTTGTGTGCAATGCACAGTTTGGGATGAACTCTGTAACATATCCACTGGCACAGAGTTGTTACCCTAGCTTTTGGTTACTGTTTATGGTTTTGACAGTGTGTCTTGACCACTGAGTGGCCATAGCCATCTGCAATCCCCGGTTGTAAAGGAGTAGTGAGACTATGTATAATTCATAATGGAGGCCAGTGTTAGAGCACCACATTCTGTTGTCTGTGTACCACTTGGATCTCAATAAAGATCAGAAGCCACGTTAATTATATCCATGTCCAAATCGTTACATAAAACATGGGTTTCTGTAATGATTTCAAGTAGATTTGTTTTTTCCCCCAAAATTGTGTATTCACATACTGTGCCTTTGTATTTCTCATTGTTTCCGTTTTTCTTAAAATTTATGGAATGTTCTACCTTGCATACCCAGAGGTCTTGTCTGTTAGTGAAAAAGTTTATAAAAAACTATCATTAGGTGAAATTTGATATTCTGCCTACAAGTAAGTTTCATTGTGTTAGGAAATTAAATCTGTCACTGGTAGTGAAGCCATCGGTTTGGGAAATGTCTGTACATGTGGCCTGTCATAAAAAAACAGTAATTTGTAACTGTTAAAACAATTCAAGTAGGAGTAAAAAGAAAGGTAATTTACGTTGATGTTAATCGCAATATGTGGCCTTGCCATAAGACTTTGAGTTATTGTACTGTGTGCGTATGCCAGTGTCATGTGGCTCGTTCTTGTGCATCAAGTTTTTTTTGTTAGCGCGCCAACAATAGTATCTAAAATTGCCTGTAGGTGGCGAGATCATCGACTAAGCCAAATCTTAGTTCGAGAATGTGACAAAAGATGGCGCAGGCATGCAATAATAATAATAATGGCGGATGAGAATTTAGTAGACCTGTACCCTTGGAATTTTGGCATGCGAACATAGTAGTACAATGATGTGACTATAGATGGCAGAGAGTTGAGCATTCTTTTTTTGCATACCTCCGCCATCTATTGGTAAATTTGGATATTATGAGCGTGCTAACAGAAAATCTTGCTGGATTATGCTGCTACTACTACTAATGTGAATAAAATGATAGTTTATATCTTTTTCTCTCGTACATAAATTTTCTTACGCTCTATCTCTGCTGCCACCTATCCCCCTAATCTCGTAACACTTTGTAATTATTTTGATAGGTTTTGCTCTTAGCTGGATCCGGGAGGACTCGAACTGCCGATGTCTGGTTTGCTAGTCCAGCGTCTTATCCACTAGACCACGAAGTTCCGATACAATAAATAATTTCAGAACTTCCTGATATATTGTGGTTCTTCCGAATTTTAGGAAAATATCTATTTTAAATCTTTTATAGCAGGCAACTGGTGGTCTCGAACTACCGAAGTCTGGTTTACTGATCCACTGTCTTAACCACTACACCGTTAGTACCAGCAATTGTATAACTATTCCGAAACCGTCTGATAAAGTTGACGTCGCCCATATTTGCCCTTTACTCAGTTCAGCTTTTGATGACATTGGAAGGCGTATACTTACTCGAGCACCAATGCAGAGTATGGCGGGTAATTCGAAATGTTTCATCTAGTGACTTTTGCAGTGCAGTGTGTGGCGATCCTGTATTTACAACTGTGACGTCATCCCCACCGAATTTTCAAATGTCGTCACTTCACAAAATTCTACATCACTACATAAATACAGAGCTACTGGAAGTCATTAGATCAAACATACATTTCAAATTACTCTACTACCAGCACTGGTGCTTGTGATGGAACAACATATTTCCATCTGTACAGGTGTTTCTGGGGATTGGATATAACGGGAAGAACGTGATTTAGGATAAGTTCTATTGTTGTGAGTGCAGGACATAGCACTGGTAAACAATACAAAACACAAATCACAATACAAGAAGCTTCATTTTAAACATTCATCCTTATGGTTGTTTTAACAAAAGGGGTTTTCTGAGATGTGCCCCCATGTAGTCTGGTAGGTGGAGAAACCTGAAGATGGAGGCAGCAGCTTCTTCCAGGTTCCTGGTAACATCGCAGTTTGGTATATGACGTCACATGCCAGAAGACTGTAATCTCCATTCACTGCTTTGATAACCTCAAATCTTAGATTTCATCCTGCAAAAATAATTGGTAGGGCCCTGAATGTTCTGATCTGCCTCGATTTTTTTTATTTTGTAAATATTTAAAGTGTAATTTTCATTTCATTCTCTCACATTTATTCAGATGTGACAGTGGACAAAGTTTTTTCTGGCAAAAAAATCTGACATTCACTGAAATTGGTAGTCCTAATCATCCAGTATAGTTTTGGAAGCATTAACATAAATATTACTTTCTTTGAATATTTAACAGAAAAGATTAAGACGCAGGTTTCCAATGTCTGGAACTGTCTAGTTTGGTACATACAGTCAGCCATTTTGAATGCAGAGGGAGGCAGCAGGTTCCTCCAAAGCATTACAGCATCTGTGCACATCCCCGCTGACAGTTTCTGCATTTATACCTTCAGTAAAGTGCACTTCATAACAAGCGCAGGTATAAGGCATTGTGAACATCAAGACTGCAGCCTTGTTGGGTATGAGGCTGTGCTATTCTGATACTGACATCCTTACTGCAATACCTTCAATAGTACCTGCGTTCAAAGTACACTCAACTCTCGATTATCCAGGGGCGGATAAACTGGTTTGCGGCTTAACCGGGGCTATTTTGAGGCTTATAAGTTGTTTACTATTCATTCACTTTTGTTTCACATGGTGAGTTGTAACACTATTTTCGCACTAGTGTGAACCGAGCTCTGCATTTTTGGTCCCGTTATGGTAACACAATGTTCTAGGGTAGGGGTGAAATAATACAAGGATTTGTGTAAAGTTTCAAGGACAGATACACCACCACAGTTAGTCTCTTTGTATCGATCTTCAAGTGCGTTAGCAAAATGTCAGGGTGTAAAAGGAAGCATGTTGTGTTAAGTATTCAACAGAAACTTGAAATTATCAATCAGCTGGGAAAAAGAGGTGTAGTTAAACAATTAGCAATGCGATACGGTATTGGAGAACAAACTGTTCGTGATTTGAAAAAACAAAAGAATCAATTTCCTTTGCTTCGTCTTCTAATTCAAGCAGAATGAAGAAGAGAAAAACCATGAAAAAAATCAACATATGATCTCAACAAAGCAATGCTGATCTAGGTTAATCAACTAAGGGCACAGGGAACAACAATAACAGGAGCAGTTTGTGCTAAACAAACAAAATTTTTTTCCAAAACACTTGAACTACAAGGAAGTTTTGACGCTTCTTCTGGTTGGCTAACACGTTTCAAGCAGCGTCATGGAATATGAGAAATTAGTATTCAAGGTGAGAAATTGTCAGGGGACTTGTCATCATCAGTTCAATTTTGCACCAATTTTGATAGTTTCGTGAAAAGTGAAAATCTGCTGCCAGAACAAATCTATAATGCTGATGAAATGGGTCTTTATTGGAAACGCTTGCCAACCAGAACTTTAGCATTTCAAAATGAAAGACAGGCTCCAGGTCACAAATCCAGTAA